GTATAAGCATTAAAATGAAGATGAAGGCTGGGATTAATTGCAGGTGACATATGGAGCCGAGTCAAGGAAGAACCAGGGTAAGATGTGGATTTCGTCTGGCTCCAAACATAGGATGGGATGGGGATGCGGGATTTAAAACAAGGATGTGCTGAAGTTTCAGGCTGAGATTAATGGAGGGGACAGGCTTTTTGCTTAAGTAGTTACCTACTCAGGCAGAAATTACAATTTGCTGAAAGAAAAGGCTGAAAGCCATTTTGTGTAACCACGAAGCAAGAAAATCAAAGTTAAATCTTCCCCCAGTTGTGCAAAATACACAATAATTGATAAAAAGCAGTTGGGCAGCAAGGTCAGTTCTCATACCCTTTCGGCCACACTAGTGCAGGAACAATCTGTGCAACGTTGTGTTTAGATTCTTATGTGTTAAAGACTGAAGTTAATGCCCAACACTGGTGCCAGTGAATATTCTGCCCTTGATTTCTGTGAGGCCGCTGGAGAAAACACGCCACCTCCTCCTCTTCGATATCCTCTCAGGGGACAAATCCATTGTCAAGTGTTTTCTTCGTGACATTTTGATACCAGTATATAAACCTGCCCTCACTACAGGCCCGCAAGCTGCACTTTACATCAAAGGCGAAGGGGCGAAGATTGATCCACGCTTTGTTTACAGAGACATTATAAGCTGCTCTAAGTGCAACACAAAAATTGAATATCAATAATTTCACCATCCCAGAAACACAAACTCAAGGAGAGACAGAAAATACAAATCACAGTAAATCAAGGAAACTGCTGAGGCAGATCTGAGCTTCCACTGTATCTATCAACTTTTTTGTTTTTGCCTTTGTCAATGGTTCGATTCAAGATAACCGCTCTGGTTTTACAAGTGACAGAAAGGGCTTCACATGATACACACATATTGAAGATTGATTTAACGCAGCATTTTATTTTTTTTCCTAAGTAATACTCTCATGTGTCAGTTTCAAACAGGAGGTCTTGGCTGAGAGGTATTGATTTGAAAAGGTGTCCTCTCAATGGAAAAGTTTCACTGCCTCCAATCCATACTCCATTTTTTAAAAATAGACAATCTATGTTTTTTTAGTCTCTGGAGAATCTTGTAAAATTATCTTTCATCAGAGAGGGATGTTAAATAGCCTACTTGCGGACATTATCTGATATGGCACTTGACAGTGTCACAAAAGTGTTAAAGTGAATTGAGTCAACGTTCAACAACCCGCTACCCCATGGCTGAAGTGATAGTCGTGCTATAAACAGGGTTCCCTGAAATGTCTTGTGAAGTTCCGTATGATGATGTAACACTGATTTTTAGATGGTATCCACATTGGTTCCACTACAGATAAGGAAAGCCCTTCTGTGTTTCTGTCACTGGAGGACATGTGGAGTAACTTCCCTGAAAATACTGCACTTCATCACAGCCCTCTTAAAAGTCAGATTTGGAATCGCATGAAAGATTTAGATAGATGTTGTCAGTTGTTGTGCTCCAAAGCGCTTATGACAGGAAAGCTATGCTCAACCAGAACGATAGTTTCTGTATGCAGTATACATGTGTACTGTGAATAAAAGTTGAAAAAATAATCCTTCTTTTTAGATAAATCTGCAGTTGTTACACAGGTTAACTTTGCACTTGGTAATGTAAGACAGAGGTGAGTCACTCTTAACTGAGGACACTGCAGAGCAGCTTTTAATTTAAGACTTTGTACAATACCAGAAGAAAGAGGAGGAGGAGAAGGGCTGAAACAGACAAGGAATATTTACAAGGGAGGTCATGTCTTGTACCTGATCCTACAGCAGAACAAAAGAAATCAGAAAGTAACCCAAACAGCCCATGTTTTTCTGCAAATTTCTGAAATCTCTGAGCAGTGGAAGGAGCATTGTTCAGGAGAATAAACCGATTTTTAATACAGTACCTAGATAAATTCAGAATGATCACGCCCAAGCTAGGCATATCCAACTAAGCGTGTGTATTTGCTTCCAATGCTACATTTTTCATTACCAAAAATAATATTTTTAATCGGTTCTCAAAATATTGCAAATACAATTGATCTCCAATATCCTTCAAACACAACCATTAAGTTTGTTTTCACTGCATTGAAACTAATTTGTAATACACAAACAAATGAATAGTGTAAGGCAGACAATTGCACTTTAGACAAAAGCTGTACAACAGTTGAATAATATATATTTTTACCAGCAAAACCAAAACACAACATCACATACTATACATTACAAAACCCAGGGTTTTCAGGGCTCTGTTTCATACCTAGATACATCAGCATGAAGAAAATTAACCTTTTTTCAAAAATAATCATCTTGCATTTCAGTAAAGAAAAGCAGGAAAATGTATCTACAGTGTAATTTATAGTTTTTCTACATTAAAATACAAGGGCAAAAGCAAACATCCACTAAAATACATAAAGAACATTTTATCTTACCTTGAAAAAGTGCATTCATTTTACTATTTTGCCATAAAAATTCATGAGTTTACAAACACATTGTGCAATAAAGATGTCTGCTGAAGGCCTATACATTCAAATCGACTGGCTCTAGAAAAGGCTCATCTGATAGGTTAAAATAGCTGTCATTCAAGGTATCCTGACCATTCAGGCACTTAAACCCTTCTCTCTATACCATGCATGCCTAGTTTTTTTTTTATTTTACTAATGATAATGTTTCTTTATTAGCCCTATACAATTTCTTGCATTAGAAATTCATCTTTTCACATACCCCAGCTTTTCTCCATGGAGACACAGACACACAGACAGGGAGAGAAGCTTGGGGTCAAAGCGCAGGGTCTGCCATTGTAAGGCGCCCCTGGAGCAGTTGGGGTTAAGGGCCTTGCTCAGGGGCCCAACGGAGTAGGATTCCTCTGCCAGCCACGGGTCTTGAACCAGCAACCTTCCAGTCATAGGCGCAGATCCTTAGCCACAGAGCCACCGTTCCGCCCTAAAACATGTTTATTATGAGTAAAAAAACTGTATACTGTATATAGTACTGTATAATACTATATACTGTCTAATACTAAAACAGTTCAAAAAAGTTAAAAATTAGAATGCTACAGTAAAATTTTTTCTTTTTGCAATTTTTATTTATTTTACATTTTTTGGAAGGCTAAAAAAATCCTGCACTTTCAAACTTTTATTTTCATGGTAGTAGATATTTTTAGAGAAGACCTAAAAAAAGAAATTTACATCCCAAGTCTCCTACAACTTGCAAAATTGCCTTTTGAAGACTTGAAGACAGACAATAACATGTGTCTGTTTTTTTTCCCTGTTTTTGTTCTGGATATTTCTTTCTAAAGTGTGTCCTGAGAAAGACAAAAAAAATTAAATGTTCAGGCAGGATGTCCAAGGAGGTCTCTTTAATTCGAGCCCCTCACCAGGTCTGTAGTGTGTGCAGTTTCTAAGATAATTCAAGATACTGAAAGGCAAATCCATCCCAGGAGGACATTGACCTTGACTTCCATTCTGGGGGAGGGGATGTTAATAAATACAAAAGGTAATACAAATAATCAATGCATTACACACAGTTCATGATATATGATTAAGCCTTCAGATTAACTCAGTTACTAGAAGTGAGGCTATATATAATGGTTCCCCACCTCATATAGTTTGGAGTCACCATTTTCTTCTCTGTAGCTCAGCTCACAGCAGCGACTCCTGTACAGCACAGGGAGAATGAGGGGGGGCAGGCACCCAGCACTTTAGGCTTTGACAATCTGCAATCTCTGTGGCACCTAATAGGTGAGTGAGGAGAGGGAGTATCTTCTTCATGTGTTCACATGGATTTCCTCCAGGCGCCACAGTTTCTGCCCACAGCCCAGTGACTCTAGTTGGTTAATTGGCTTCTGGAAGAATTGCCCCTGGCTTGAGTGTGTATGTCTTTATGTCTGTGTGGCCTGTGGTGGTATCATGAAGTGTGCCTATTGCTTGCCAGGATAGGCTCTGGCAACCCTGTATTGGATAAAGCAGCGAAAATGGATGGATGGATTTATTTTTATGTGAACAGCAAAGTTCAGTATTGAAGTCTGGAGTACAAAACCTTGTGTGATTGGTAATGAATGGAATGTAACAATTGATTTTTGTGTACAGCTCTGAAAGTAAATTGATGTTAGATTCAATATAATTTCATGCCAGTTCATGAAAAGGGTATTTGTACCCATAGCACCGAGGCAAACACAAACAGGTATAGAAGTAGATTGTATTGTGAAGACATTCCATACAACATTTTCTCAGTTTTCAGTCATCTAATAGACAAAGACTGTCAATTTTCTGCTAAATATATTATGATTTAATATTTTACAGTCTGGTCATCATTACTTAAAATAGGGCTGTTTTTTCTAAAGTTTTTTTCAGCAAAGTAAATAAAATCAACAGGAACATACAGCGGATCTACAAACCTTTTGATAAGTTCTACTTTATGCATTCTAGATCATAAGATGATGGAATATAATTTGATTTCATGACTATGCTGGAGGATAGTGGTGAATGTTTTAAAGCAGAAAACAAAACAAATGAGCAATGTCAGATAACCCTGTCCATGGTGCTGAATTTTTTTTAAATGATCAAAGAACTGCAGTTCATTACAAAAATAGTAAATAACAGTGTGATACCAGAATACATCTTCATATTATATTATTGAAAAGAAAAACCATCATAATCTGTTAAACTTTTTTCTTACAATATCATACAGTATAAACACGTGACTTTACTGGGAAAGGAAAAGTCAGGCAGCACACTCTGAAGACTGGAGCATTGATAACGACACAATATTCTGAAAGGTGACAACGATATCTTTACACCAGCTTCATAATGCAGCAGGCTGGTCGAAACAGCAGATGGGTGAGACGAGCTCTCCGGCCCCGATGTACTTTCGGAAGGAGGGGTCTGTCTGATCTGGCTCCATTCAGGCTGCTCACCCCTCCTGGCTCGGGGGGCAGGGACGGCTCCCGGTTCGAGGCTGTGACCCTGGCGTTGGTTGTGTTGCAGGAATGTCAGCTCTGCCGGAGAGGAAGCACGCAGGAGGATGAGGGAGTGCGAAGGGCTCACTGATGCGTTGCTCTACGTGATCCAGACCGCTCTGGGGAGCAGCGAGATTGATAGCAAGGTTTGACTTTATATTTCCTTCCTCTTCTCCTATTAAAGCCTTGCTGTAAACCAACAGAGAGTGTGGGGCCTAAAAAACAAATAAACAGCTTTGCGGTTGGCTGCACATTCAAGGTTGCTGTAGCCTTGTCCTCTGTAATGGCACTGTTTAATCATGATTTAACGGCTACCACCCCCTTGGCAACGCACACTCTGAAATAAGAACGCTGTGATATTTTCATAATAATGAGAATTGAGTGCGTTGCTGTGTGCTTGCAAAGGACTCCACAGGCATGGTGCCAGTGGTCATTTTCCAAAAGCCATGAACAGAGTTTCCAGCGAGTGCAATCCTTCATAATCTCACCACTATCTAGGAGCAAATGTCCTCCACGCTGGGACCCCCGACACGCCGCTGTTTGTGCCGTTAGAAGAGTCTGTTTCTGTCTGCCGTGCTACAGAAACCATTAAGGGATAAAAATGAGAGAGATGTAGAGAGGAAGGTAACATTAATTGTGAATCACTGCGTTGACAAATCAAGAATGCTGAAGTCCTTTATAAGGCAGAGGCTTGTTTTTATATAAGAATTATTCCGCCACCTGATGGCTACATGCAAAACAAAAATAAATGCCTAAATGCCTGTCTGCAGCTGTTTAGGCAAATCACCTGGATGGATTCAGCCTGACAAGCAATCCTACATGCTGTAGGTAAAATTAAAACTTTTTTTCTCATTATAGAAGAATATTAGAACTCGATTTTGAAACATTTGCTCTAAAAAAATCTTTCATATTTTTAGACGATTTTGGCAGTAGATGATGTTAATTATGCTGAGGCACAATGAAAGCTCAGCAGTCTAAGATTTACATCAATATCTCATTGGGCGCATGCTGAATGCATTTCCATTTTAAATAGTGAATAGACAGGATTGTTGATTGTTCAAGTAGCTCTGTTCCTTGGGATAGCAAAATACCTAAACGCCAGTCATGTGATACAATAAAAATGCCAGGTGCACAGATATTTAAGTTCAGTTAAACTTGCCAAAATGAGCTCATTAAGCATCCGTATAAATAGCCATTCAAATAGACATGATTTTAATTAACACAAGAGCTGTGAAAGCTGAGTAATGGTAATTGAATGAGTAATGAAGATCATCTGGTTGCTACTGGCATGATTGAAGGCAGCCTGACTGGGAGAGAAGTTGCCCAGAGAACGAGATGTTCTGCTTCATCAATTTGCAGACTAGTGCAGAGAAGCCGAACTGGCAGCGTGAGTCAGGCCAAGTCCTGGAAAGCAGAAAGCCACCACACTGGTACTGAACCTTCTGATCCATATGAGTAATGATTTCAGACTGCAGTGCCTACAGCATGGGAAATTCCATTTCCCATGAAGATATAACCAGCACATCAGCAGAACAAATACATATCACTATTGTAATTAAATAATCTGTCTGCTCAGAGGCTATTTTGGAGTAACACACACCATACAACTGAGAAAAATGTTGACAAAGTTCAAGTGCAAGACAAAGTAGCCTAAACGCATAACCACACAGTGCTAGGATAAAATGGAACATTCAAAATGTTCTTATAGCTATCTTTGTGGAAAAAAAAACATTAGACACATTCAGCTTCCTGACCTCTTTTTTATTTTTTTAACATTCTTTGAAGTTTTCCACATTTCACAATTATGAGTGATTTACAAATGAGTCTGTCTAAACAGTTACGCTACAGAGCAGCACAGCCTCACGAAACTGCAAGGCATCGTGGATCTTGATTTCGGGCACTGTCTCAAGAGAGAATGATATTTTCAATAAAAATGCAAGTAAAGATATGATCTCAATAAAGAAAAATGGCTATTTCAGTGCAGCGTACTGCATACATAACAAGATGGACTGTAATAAAGAAATTTATCTTCTTTTTCTTGCTCTAACGCTGAATGGAAATCATGGAAATGTAATTCAATACCAGGCCAGGGGGTGCAGAACATATCAGATGGGAGAAGTGATGAAGACTAGGATCAGTGATGGCAGCAGACCTGTGCTGTTTTAGTTGTTGAGCTGTTATGGAAAGAAACATTTGGATATTTTAAAATGAGTAAATCATTAAATATTGTATGTGTTATTAAAAAAAACAAGCAAACTGCAATGCACAGCAAGCATGAGGTGCTTAAATGGGAGGCATTAGCAGTAAGTTGGATGGAACAGAAATAGGGTCTTTGTTTCTGTTTGGACTCCTTTCCGTAGAATGTAATGGATGAAAAGAGGTCATATGGTACTGAAAATTTTTGAGAGAAAACAGGAAATTGCTCATTCATTTCTGATCCATTCATTTACTAAACTCAAAATGATCAGAATAGAAGCATGTGAAGGTTCCTGAACAATAGTTCTTCAAGTATGTTTTTGTATCAGTCAGTGGCTATGCATAACCTCACTCTCTGAAAGTGGAAGGACTCCAAAAGTGAACTCATTTAAAGAAATGATGGTTAAACTTGTGTGAAGGGCAGAGAAATCTTGAAGCAGCTATGCATTGCATTCCAGGTCCTTCTTATTTTTGTAAGCACATTATTCAGAAAGACATCAGGTATTTTTCTGATTCATGCCTCTAAAATTAAACTAGTCTTCCAATAGCAGTAAAATACACAGTTCTGCAATGTTGGAAAAAGATGTGTATTTTCATACTCCAGTCTGAGCATTTTTGGATCGCGTCTCCTTGTAGATATGTACAGTAGATACAGTATGTGAGGGCGCACACATGTTCATATCATTCTGTATGGCTTGCTCTTCAGAAGTGATTGGGAATCCCTCTACATGAACGTCTGCCACCCACATTGTTAAGATTTAGCAATTTGACTTTTTCTTACGTGTCAGTCAAGGAGTCACTTTGACAGATTTTCCTTTACTCGTATTTCAGATCGTTCCCTCCCTAAACTCTTCCCGCAAGAGCGCACCGGCGTCTCGGGAAGCGTGAGTTGGCATCCGGGAGTCCGGGAAGGCGAGAGGCCTGCAGCCGGTGCTGAGATGTGTTCTGTGCTTCTCCTTCCAGACCATCGAAAACTGTGTGTGCATCTTGAGGAACCTGTCGTATCGGCTCGCAGCAGAGACTTCTCAGGGACAGCAGATGGGCACGGACGAGCTTGACGGATTGCTCTGTGGCGATGCCAACGGCAAGGACGCGGAGAGCTCCGGGTGCTGGGGGAAGAAGAAGAAGAAAAAGAAGTCACAGGATCAGGTGGGACATGTGGCTGCAGCTGTTCGCAATTACTGGTGTTTTGTCGTTCTTGTACAGAGTGCAGAAAGGTCCCCCTCCGTGGATAATTAGGTATTTTACAAGGTTGATTTCTTGTCATTACAGGAACTAGATGTATCTACTGTAGGAAACAACAGAGAATCAAAATGACTCTTGTATGCAGTCAAGGGATCATACTGACAAAAGCCTCCATCTAATATTCATCTAAGACTGGCTTCTTAACAAAAAGTAATCACTTTGGGTTAGACAGCATGTCTCATTAACACATTAAATCCCTCTTTGGTCTTTTTCCGAGACATTTACCAAATTTATTTCTGAATCCAGTAACCTCAACTGTGATTCTCAAAGTGGATTGCATGTCTTCTGGTAGCTTTTGTTAAATTTTCTGTTCATACAAAGTGTTTATTGCAATGGAATGGCAAATCAAGTTCACATCTAAGAAACTTCTCATTTTTTTATTTAATTAGGTTTGTATGTATTTTTTGTGTTGCATTCTTAAAGAACTACTGCCATCTCATCTGCATTTTTTAATTTCCATGTGCTGAGGTACCATTAACCTAGAACTACCATGTGGAAAAACAGTATTTTCTGTTTGTGCAGAGCAGGGGAGGGGCTACATTGTTAGAAATGGCCAAGACTATTAGTATACTAGCAGCAATGTAGAAAGGAAACAGCAATGTGAGATCGTGAAAGTTATAAAAATAACGGGGAAATAAGCAGGACTACCTTTCTAAGCAAGACACAGCCAGGGTAACTGCAGAAAGGAAACACTCCTTAAAAAGAGAGGAATATGAATAATTCTGATAAATGTGTTTTTTTGACCCACAATAAAGTTTGTTTATGGTGGTTCATCTGGTGCCGGCATGGAACGTGTTGTTTGTTTTTGTGTATTCCACTCTGAAATTTGTAAATGCTCCTCAGCGCTGAGAGGCTCTCTGGGGAAATGTTATAAACGAACTCTGCAAGTGATATCATTTAAATAAAACAACACTGAGAGGGATGGCAAAGTGTTACACAGATAGAAACATTTTAGAAAAAATAATAAAATGAATTAATAACTTTCAATTCAAAATTGAACTTCAAAAAGGAATGCATTGCCTTAATGACTGTGGTCAAATACTTGTTCTCTCCCATGTTGAAATGACAGTATTCATTAAGTTAAAATCAGTCAAAGTACAAAATATGACGTGAAAGTTTGGTTATATGAAATATGAAAAGGTTTTATTGGTCACAGTAGCAAAAGGTAAGTTTTACAATAGTTGAGCTTGAGAATACTTTTTCAGTCTTCTCAAGTTTTGAAGGACACAGTACAATATTGGAGTACTGTGTGCCCATTATCCATGATAAGAAAATTTTAAAAACATCTAGTAATTTCCATAAAATTGATTACATTTCTATTTAGTTAGTGACCACACATACAGTATGACTCAGAATTCCCAACCACCCACATGAATGCTACATTTTAATTAGTTTGTGTCTCTGAAGCATTTCTACTGTACAGCAGCATCAAGTATACTTGACTTATTTTACAACATATATGTACATCAAGTATTTTCAGAAATATTTTCTTTGAGTTACTTTATCAGTTCAAACCCCAAAGTTGCTAAATTAGAGTGTTCATAAGCTAATAGATTCTGCACTTATTTTCTTGGAAATTTCAAAAACAAATTGTGGACATCCATTTTTGGTGGAAAGTGTGCTTGGATTTGTTTGTTTGAGAAATTAAAGAAAGTTGATGATTTGCTTCCTGTTTTATTAAAGGAAAACTTGAATACCCAGTATGCTTTGGTGATAATGGCACTATAGAGAGAGAGAGATTGCTCATTTTGAAAACAAAAATGTAGCACAACTTAATATTAATTACTCACAATGGTAAACAAAACATGTAGACTTGAAAAGGGTTCTTTTTTTCACCTCTGCAGTGTACGACAGTCAATCTCTACAAATGGGAAGGCTTGGAGAGATTTAATTTCATGCTTTCTGGAGATACATTCTTTATTCAGATGGTTACTTTTTATGAAACCTGAAAGAATAGTGAAAGAGGCATTTCCATAAAGGTCAGGCAAACTTGCTCTCGGAGAATGTCACTGGAATGTCTTCTAATCATTAACACACTAGAGAGTTTACCCTCTGCTGCTGCTCAGTTCCTAAGCATTATTCAGTTTTTTTTATTATTTCAGCTTCTCCAAAGAGCACTCTTCCTTGACTGGTACTTTTAAGTTTGGCACTTTCTAGCTTCTAGTAGCAGCTGTAGAGGAAAAGGTTTTTAATTGTTGCATGGATCACTTCACATTGTCCTGCCTGACTTTGGATTTGATTGTGAACTTTAACTTTAGAGTTTTGCCATTGGTACTCCTTCTGTTAATGACAAAGACGCTCTGAGTGGTGCTCTGCAGCTGATACAAATGCTACCACCTTCAGAATAATTTCAGCACTCAAGAAAGCATACGTAAAGCATAAGAAACCAAAGTCTCCTGGTATTTTTTTGCTGCCGTTTATGCCTTTTTCTTTTTGTTTTAATTTTGAATATTGTTATCAGGCCTGCATTGATGATAGCATGTATTTCCTGCACTCTTAATTGTAGTACATTTTGGTACTACACAGAATCCTGTCACTGCTGATGTGCAAGTGATTTCATTCTCTGGTAGGAGCCCCCTGCCCTGGGTGTGTCACGGTAAATATCAGGGGAAGGTGTTTGTTTCAAGGATGTCTGTGTCTTTCCACCAGAGCACGGTGCATCGCCTGAATTACTGCAGTGCAGAAAGAGCATCAAAGTCCATTGCACACGTATTCAAAAACAGAGCGAAGCATGACTCTGTGTTTTGTTAATGTCAAAGTCATGCTTTTGGGTTTTATACATTTTACAGTTCAAGTGCTCTGCCAGCCAGCATGTGTCTCCAGCAGCATGCTTAGCTCCTCCTATCCTTACTTTCTGAAGGTAAAATGTGGGCTTTTAAGTGATTAAATCCTCACAGGCTTCACTGACCTGGTCAGATTCCCCTGGAATTCAGATTTAGAGCTTGGCTTCAATTAAAATGATCTCTACTAGGAAGTGTTCGTTTAAAAAAAAAAGTCAGAACGGTACAAAGCATGAATAGATAATTAATTGCATCTTTAACTGGATAATTCAGTTAAATGTCAGAGCCCATTACTGCAATTCTGCTTTGAATATAGGATGTTTGGTAGAGCTCTGATATCACTAACCCAATGGAATGTCTGAACTGCCCCCTTCAATGCCACATAAAGCAATTAGCTCTTCTGAAAGAGGACACCTGGGCCTTGAGGCAGCAACAGGGCCTATTTTCCCTTGAATCATTAATCAATGGAGAAGGTTCGGCTGCTTACCAAACAAGGCTGCAGTTTTTCTTCAGGGGACCTGATGTTTGTCAGCCTTAATTGACTGGAAGGGAATCCCTGCAGGTAGCGAAAGATTTGTCCATTATTTGTCCCTCAGTCCACTTTTGAGTAGAGGGCATAAATCATTTCATGAGAAAACAAATGATGGCAGGCGTCCCTCAAAAACGGCAGGCTAATATTCATTTACCCTTTGATGAAGAAAAATGTCACGTTTAGCTTCGTTTAACTGTGGTAGAGTGTCGTCGGAGCTGAAATCATCAATTTATTTCCTTGCTACACCCATGCCGTGAGGTCGAGGAGAGTGAGGCCCGGCAGACATGGACACACCCTGACCCCTGCTGTGGGTTCGCGATACTCTGTCTTGTTAAGCCTGTGTCTGTGCGTGCACAGTTTATATACCATACCTCATGCACACAGATTCCTTTTTACAGTGGCAAACATACTTCTGCAACTTTCCTGAAATTAGAGTAGACAAATCAGTGGAAGTGGTCTCCACTGCATCAAAGCCTCACAGTGAGTCACTGTTTCCTCCTGTGAAGAGAAATATAATTTAACAGTATATTCTGAACCTGGGGACTGGAAGACTAATAGTAAAAGAATTTCAGTTATATCTAAAACAATGCCGTCAGTTTGACGGGCGCGGTGCTATCAAGCCGAGGAGGGTGGCAGGCCTGTGTGGTATTGAAGACAGCCTCTCTGCCTCTGCTCGCTCTGCTCTCTGGGCTTCCAGTTCTGAAGGCATCTGTTTTCACATGTAGAACATAAGAGATGACATCAATTTCAGTAATTACATTTATTACCCGAAGGTAAAGGTAAATGATCCAAAAAGCATCTTCACTGGCAATTTTAAGTTCTTTATGTTGCAAAGCTCCCTGCCTAGAGTGCAAAGGCAGTCAGTACTGTTAATACCCTCGAATGGCTTCAGATGATTTGACTGGAGAGGGAAATGTGTTTTTTCGAAGCCTTTAGGCAGTTTCCATTGACTGCTAACAAAAATATAATACAAGATAGTATAGTTTAAATAGACTGTCAACTGTAGCAGTGTAATTTTGGATGTTTATTTTGAATTCTGCCAACAATTTTCAACTGCTTTGCGAAGCAAACACTTTTTCTCTGGTGCTGCTGAAGAAAGATATGAGATTCTCTGTTTTGTCCAAAACAAACATCATGTTTTATTTTCCCAAAATACCAATTTAGTGTTTTGTTAAATATTTTTGGGGATTGTTTGCTATAACATTGTTTCTGTTCTTAAATGACACTCGTATGGCAGTGGCTTTCTAACGTGACATTCTAACTAAAAGCTTCACAGTGAGTCACTGTTTCTACTGTAAACTGAAATGTAATTTAACAGTAAATTCTTTAGCTTCAGTCTGAATGAATAATAGTGAAGGAATTTCAGTTACATATGATTTGGTATCATCTACAAAGTTGACAAATTTCTTAATTATACAAGTGTCTGGATTATTGCTTTCTGAGGAATAAGGTCCAGAGAAGAGCTGTTGTCTTTTCTGAACCTGCTGCCCTCTTACAATATAAATTAAGGGTGGTCCTAGTACAGTTCCTTGTGGCATTCCTCTAATTACTGTACATCACCCTGATTGGGGTGTTTACCCCTTGAAGGAACCAGCGGTGAGCAGTGCCAGGAGTTCCGAGGCCAGTGAGTGTTGACAGGAGAGCTCACCCACAGAGTCAGGGAGTTCAGGGATTAAGACAGAACAGGGAAACAGCTCGAGTGCCAAGAATTACTGCCTCTGTTGTGTGTTCTGGGTGAAAGCCAAACTGGAGGGAGTCAAGCACCAAGCGCTGCATGGGGAATAATGTATTGATTGTAATTATATAATAAAAACGGTAATGAAATTCACACATCTCAGTAATGTATAAGGAGATGTATTTCAACTCATCTTAGATAATTAAAGATTCAGCCAAACTAGCAGGTTTATTTTTTCTGGACATTTCAGTTTCTGAAAATGCTTTATTCACAGACAAGACTTATTGAATTGGGGCCAGAAGCACTCATTTCCTCTCCAGTATTTAACTGAAGAAAATTGCACATCCTAAGTTCAGAGCAAGTAGCTTTATAGTGACTCATTAAACATTGACAGAAAAATAAAAAGCCTGAACCAGCAAAGGATAAGAGAAAGGGATTGTGCTGTGATATCACACAAGTGAGCTCTTACCTGAGAATGGGTCGCTGAGTGAACACAGTAGCATCACAATTAATTTGGTCTCGTATCAACTGGTATTGTTTCTTCCTGAGTGATTCTATGTTTTAACAATTTGTTTGGAAGTTTAAAGACAACAGTAATCTAGCTTTTGCGCCCAGGGGATGAATGCTACACAGTTTTGAACAATAAGGATCTGGAGTGCAAAATAGTAATGGTAAACAATTTTAAAGGAAAATGTGTAGACACTGGCAGCTGCAGCTTGGTTTGCCTGCCCTTAAATTGATGTGATGTTTTTGCCTCGGTCATTTTAAATAAGACACATTCAATTTTAAACTCAAAATTCCCATCAATTTGCGCAGGTGTGAGCAAGCTGCGTGTCACTTCTCATTCATCTCACATGAACTGTAGATCCCCATGGTAGTACTGCAGCTTCTTTGGGAAGAGTTGGTCTTATCTTTTGTAATGTTTGCTTGGTTTCAAATTGTCTAGGTCATGCACTTATAAGTGTATTTAATTTGCTTTGTTTTTTTATCTGAGTTCCTGCCTGTAATTCCAGTTGCCCCAGAGAAACTATTTCTTCCACTAAAAAGCTGGGTAAAAGAAAATAATCTTTCCTCTTTCGTTCTTTATCATGTAACCAAGCAGAGCTCAGCATTTTTACCTTTGTGTGGTCCGTATCTCGTTCATTTCTCCACTTTTGTAGGATATGAGGTCTAAAGTGGGAAAAGCACAGCGCTCTCATCTGCAGTGTGCGTGTGGTGCTCACAGCTCACGAAGACTGTGGGGCCGCGCCGTCCTGCCTGCCCGTGCTCCAACCCTTCTCTTTCTCTCGCAGTGGGACGGGGTCGGCCCTCTGCCCGAGACGGCGGAGCCCCCGAAAGGCATCCAGATGCTCTGGCACCCGTCCATCGTCAAACCCTACCTCACTCTGCTCTCCGAGTGCTCCAACCCCGACACGCTGGAAGGCGCCGCCGGGGCCCTCCAGAACCTGGCCGCGGGCAGCTGGAAGGTGAGGCCGGCCGTCGGGACCTGCACACACGTCCACCCAGAACAGCTCAGGCCGGCTGCCCACTGCCGCTCAGAGAGAACTAGGGCTACTGGGGGCTGCACACTAATATTCTCACTTCATTTGTAGGAAAGCGACTGGGGACAAAACAGCCTTTAAAAGAACCACTGTATTGAAAGGATGAGATTGGGGTTTGGTACGAGCCACGTGATGGCAAAAAATCTTTTTTGTCTTTTCTCTGAAAAATGATAATAACCTGTCATTTCTGATTTCTTAACATTTTACAGCTAATTCTTTGCTTTCCAGCCTGTAGTGAACCTCACTGAAATGGAACAAGTGACCAGGGTGAAACAGCTTTGGCTTCCTGTCCTGGTGCAGTAGGCAAGCATGAAGCAGGCGTCTTACAGAGCGACTGCTTTCCCCATCTGTGTTGTGATGCTGCTGTGAACACAAAGCGGGGCATATGGACGTACTGCAGAAATTAAATCTAGACTTTTCAGTTCTTTCAGGCAGCTGATCCATATCCTAATTACCCATCTTCAGATTCCACAGCTGCATAGATTCTCTGGCGAGCAATAGAGCTGTAATTTGTCATTATTGAACGTGAAGGAAAATCATATTGCTGGAGAAATGAATCAAGACTGAAAAAAGAAGCACCAATCAGTGTATTGCAGTGTATTCAAAATCTATGAAAAGAGTTATTGAAAGCTCAGCTGCACAATATTAAGGAAGCCTCTTGATTTGTTAAGTGTCTGCAATGCAATTCCCTTTTACGAACGTTGAACTTTAGTGGTACTTTCAGACATCGCTGTCATCCCCCATGACATCTCCAGTGCTCTGGTGTGCTGCGTGTTTGGGGCTGTGGTACAGTACAGAGTGCTGGAGAACTTGATGTAACTCTGCTTTCTCTTTTTATATGCAGAAAAAGTGTCACAAGAACATCACAAAAATGTAAAGGTTATGTAAAATCACTCCTAAAATAATCTTTATACGTGTTGATGTAAATAATTTGCCATTTAGATGGCACTTAGCCTGTAGGATTATTTATAAATCAGCAGCTGGTTTGGTGTTTCACCCAAGAGATGCACATCAGGAAAGAGCAGTAACTTGCTCAGGGTGAAACACGATGTACTGTATCAATCGTTTGGTGCAGAATGCAAATGTTCAAACCATCATGTACATTATCAGTAAATACCGTGGTGCTTCTGTGCTCTGGCTAAACTGCAACTGAAGCATAATCCTGTGTTATACAGGAGGAGGGCAGTTTAGGGTCAGTGTGACATTACTATGAGCTGCTGACTCACAAGCAGTATTAATTACATTACCTACAGCTCAGAATGCTGGCATCAGATAATTTATTCATATGCATATTGCACAAATGTTCAAGTACCAGAGATCTGGATATATTTCCACTCATTAAAAACATAAAACATAAGGGAAGAAAGAACAGTGATAATTCATTGAAAAGCACTTAGGAATGAAGTTCACTGTTACAGTGCATAGTTCTTTCATGCCATGCTGTAAATAACTTCTTGGAAAAATTCTAGGACAGACAGGACACAGTAGTTTTCAATACGCTTTTATCTTCTCAGATGTTTTCTAAGTGAATTGAAAACAATAAAAGTGTAGTTCTTATGATCCCTACCTGCCCGAGTGTTGAAAGCAATGATAAAGCTTGTGGACAGAGATGGAAAACTGCAACTTTAACATTTTAATGTGGATCTACACAAAATAATAGAAAGGTTTAATGATTACTATTTGTTAGAGGCCATGTTCACAAATGTCCTTTTTTAGCACCATATAGCCCTTCATATTACAGAGAAAAAACAACCCTGTTTTTCCTCCCCTGAATAGGTACTGATACACTTTTTGAGAAAAAATCCCTGCCTTTGCTACAACTCTTACAACATTCTAATTCACCAGTGGTGTTCTGGACGGTCAGTAGCCCCCTTTTAGGTTTAAAGCTGCATTCTCAACTAAATCACCACAGAAGATAAATTTGAAAATCGTAATGTGTTCATTGGAAAAGGGGTCAATTCTATTCAATATCAATACTAAATTATTATTTGTTCATCCTTCCCTTTTCTCTAGATTATTTTATCAATTTGTAATTGCATTGATATTGTGTCTGCAGTCTGACTATTGAGCTGCATTTCGCAGTATGTCAGTGGAGGTGTGCTTTCGCATGGCAATTTACGATTCTGCTGCCTTATTTCAAACAAAGAAGGCAAACCATTTTCATCTACAGTAGGTCCCAGGTTAATGCAGTGATGTTTTACCCAGGAAGGGCCACAAGCTTTAAAGGCCATGACTCATTCCTTGCTCTATACGGCCAGGAGAGCCTGCATGAGGAAGGAGGATGCTTATTTACACCTCTCCCCACGTGGCGCCATCTGTCAGTCCGGTCACGCTGCAGTGCCTGTGGAACAAGCGAACCTGCGGCCGCCTGAGACTGACCTTCATGAAGGCAGTGCTGCTGCCTCGCTGCACTAAGAACAGGCAGAGGCGCCGCCTGTATGACAGGAATCAGTGCCATCTTAAACAGCTTCCATCTCTCACAAGCGCATCAGGAAAGACTGGTTAGGCGAGCATCCTGACCACACAGACCCAGAGTTAGCATAGAAACTCTCAACAGCTCCACTGAACATGAGCACAGCTTCCATGTGTGACTGTGTTGTGACAGAGGCTCTTCAGACCTGGTATTTTTCTTTGGAGTCTCAATGTATGTCCCTCAAGTTTGTTTTTTTTAAACGAAAGGGCAATATGATTAAACTGTCCTGAAGTAATACTTATGTGGCTCAAAGTCATGATTCTCTGCCTTTCCTTGGCTGCCTGGATTTTAACTGTAAAAATTCATAATGGATGAAACCCTTCCCATCGTATTGGACTAACCAGCAAATGGGGAAATTGTGAAGCTAGAGCTGTTTGTGTTGTCTTATAAGTACAAGATTACTTGAAACTACAGAGGCCCTGAAGTCATTTATTCTGCTAGTCAGGGCGGGGGTGCCAGGCAATACCATCAGCATAAGGCAATTAAAAGATGAAGAGAGAGCATGAATAAGTGACAGCAGGAGGTGGGATGTGCATGTGGAGGGTAGTGCGGGCTTGTCAGGTCCTCCCTCACATTTCAGCAAACACCCTAACACTTCTGTTGAAATCAGGGGTGACATCACCCAAACACAGGTGCTGACAGTATAGGGGTCAGCCCAGGTGAGGTCCCCAGTCGCTGCTTGACCCCTCTGAAATCAATAAAGCACATGTGACTGAAGGAGGTGCAATAAAAGATCCTGCACTCCACCCCACCATCCTGCATAACTAAATAATACTTGAACTCATTCTCATTTTTAACTTGGTCCTGAATTGAAAATTCAAACTGAACAAAAAATAAAATGTGTGGGCAAATTGCATAAAAACATCATTTTTAATTAACATATATTAAAAAGTATTGTTCGTTTTTCTCATCTTCAGATTCTCTGGAGCCATCTGTGATTTAAAACATGACTTCTTCTGCCTCTTCTCTCGTCTCTTCTCCTCTCCTCTGCTCTGCTCTGCTCTGCTCTCCTCTCCTGTCCTGTCTTCTGCTCTCCTCTCCTCAGTGGTCTGTGTACATCCGGGCAGCGGTTCGGAAGGAGAAAGGCCTGCCCATCCTGGTGGAGCTGCTCCGGATCGACAACGACCGGGTGGTGTGTGCAGTCGCTACAGCTTTAAGAAACATGGCCTTAGATGTGAGAAACAAAGAACTTATTGGTAAGCTTCTGGTTCTTCCTGCGGCTGGTTTCATGAAATACAGACAGAACGTGTAAATTATGCACTGAGGCACTGCTCGAAATCAGTCTCATGCCTTTGACTCTGTGGTTATCATGATCGGGAGCCCAGTTCTTGCTCAGTCCTAAAATAGCTATTTTTTTAAATTATAAGAGAAAAGCTTATGCACCTCAGTAACAATGCAACATTATTTCATCTCTCTTTCGCCTGCTGGTTAATGCTGCTGAGGAAAGAGGAAGAAATCCTCACAATCAAGCCTGAAGTCACATTTCTGGGTGAAAAGAGGTTCTCAAATAAAACCCTTATATAAACACAGGCCTAGCTGTTTGAAATTCTCTCCATGAAGCTGCGAACAGACTATTGATCTTTTTCTTATAAACTTGGTTTCCTGGTGGGTCTTTCCATCTCCATGGCAACTGCCTCCCCCTTTTACAGGCAAACTGTTTCAGTGCTGATCTGACCTGACGAAACTTTCAGAGCATCCTGGATTTCCTCAAACTCTTCCTGTTGTGAAAATGACCCAAACTGATGTACTGAAACGTCTTCCAATAATTGCATCCAGTGTGTAAATATATGTTAATATCTTTGAACTGTTGTATTCTTATTGTTTAAAATAGATTTTCCATAAAGTTTAAGGAAAAGGTATTTGTTTTCCAAAGGCTGGGTAAACTACTCATTCCATTCTACATTACAGACAGTCATGAGACACGCACACTGCCTGCTGTCCTCTGTGCAAAAGAGGTTTTAAAGGCATAAAATCTCTCTTTTATTATTATTTTGTAGTTCATCCTTCTTACTTTCTCTCTTCAGCAGATACTGAGAGTTGTTTAGAAAAAAGATGAGCGCATGTTAAGCACATGTAAACAGGACATGTGTGCATTTCAGATATCTTGTCTCGGCCCTTGGGACAGTTCAATATTACCAGCCACTGCATTCGCCTGGCTGCTATTGCAACTGGTGTTGGAGAACCAATAGGTGGTGCTCTACCCTATAGACCAGAGTTTCTTAAGAGCAGTGGTCCAGTATGAGGATGGTGCTGTGCTATAGACGGCATCACCTTTTGGATGAGAAGTTAAAACAAGGTCCAGACTAGCCCGTCATTTATAGTCCCGTGGTACTTTTCAAAAGAGTGGAGTCTCCTCCTTTGATAAAACACTTTGGGATCCTTTGGGGTAAATAGGGCTATTATAAAACCTCCGAAAAGCACAGATATTTAACAAAAAAGATTAATCCAGCTGGAGCTGCGCTGTACTGTATCTGTATTTCTGAATTCTACAATGCTGTGAGGACTACGTTTTATAGTTTATGGTGGTGCCTGGTGAAGAACATGTATTTCCCAACTGTATTAGAAGGAATTAAGGTGCTTTTAATGTAAAAACATACCAGTGCTTAACATTTTTTTTTTGCTTTTTTAGAACAGTATACACCTAATTTTCTCACATCAATGAGTAATTATCATTAAAGAGAGAGTTAGGTTAATCATATGATTCAAATTGTGCTTGTTCGGGTACATTTTAACTCAGATGTGTTATTTTCTTTATGATTTCACCAATAACCTCTTCTCAGCATATTGGAACTTCAAAGCTTAATGAAACTATTTAAAAGGAAAGAAAAGTGCCCTTTTGTGTGCTTTAAATGAACCAGAATTGATCTAAGATTAACATTCTGAGGCCCATTACTTCCACATCCTTGAAGCCAATAAAATATTGTCTCTTCTTATAAGGTGATTTCAGCCTGAAGAAACTACCATAAAAAGTGAAAAGACCCAGAGACTTAAAATGTCTTTACAAAAACGCAGCCAGGATTTTCTCTCAGAGATTATAGAACATTCGGGGAATATGGATGATTGTGTTTAAAATGCGTTAATTATTTCAGCTTCCCTTGAGTTTATTTGTGCACGCTTATATTAAAAAACATATTGCTTTTCCACGTAGTAATTGCAGAATTTATTCAGGTGCTTTCAACAGATGAAAAAGTTACTGACACCGCAAATAGTTTAAATGAAATCCAATTGATTTACTTTGACATAATCCGTTCCGCACTTCATGTTATCTGGAACAGCACAAAAGGCCTCTGACGGTAATCTTTCATTGCGCAGAGCTCTGAGCTCCGAGCTCACACAAGCCCTGTCTCAGCACAGACTGGAGCTGGGATACCTGGAGCTCCAGCCCCGGGGCTGGGCCCGGGTCTCCTCTCCTTGTCGTTGTCTCTTGGCCTCGTCCCTCAGTGTGGAGGAGGTTCAATGCATCAGATAAGGTCTCAGATGTGGGGAAAAAATTGGGAAATACTTGGAATTCTGGTAACATTTGCCAACACTTTTGATGTGCAGCACACTATCCGGAACATTTTGATTTTACTTTTATTCCTATTTCTAGAGGACCTGTGTAGAGTACCTCCTCAGCCCTAGTATTCTGACACATTGTAATTATTTATAGTATTTAATTATGGACTTGAAACTCAACAGGCTCATTATCTTGTTTCCCCCCTTATAATTACAGACTCTTCATTTTGTATGAATATAAGAAGTCAGTTTTTATATAGTAAGTTTTCATTTTCCTACAAATTTAACCTTTTGCTTTAAGTAAGTAATAATAATAATAATAATAATAATAAGTTAGTAAAAAACAATTTCAGTCCTCCGTGAGATAAGTGTTGGTTATCTGCTCCTGGGGGGGGGGGTGACATCGCCTGCAGTACCAGACTTGTCCACACGGAGGTGGGCAGCGGGACTCCACTGTGTAACCACAGGCTCTGGGCGGAGCCGAGACACGATTGCCACCTTCCCCACGCGGCCAACAGCAGCAGCTCTAGATTAAACCCCGATAACAACCTCCCATCTAATGGGACCGAAGCGACCTGCGTTTGCTGCCCGACAGGGCCACTTGAGCCCTTGGTGAGGATTCAGGATTTGGCCATGATGAGGCCACAAGCACTGCGAACTGCAGCCTTCCAGCTGCCTGTAGGCTGCTCGTTCGCGTACCGGCCTGTTCCAGGTCCATTGACAGCGTCTGCTGTAGCTGTGGCACACTTGCCTTCAGGAGCCGCCATGGAGTGAAAACAAGAGTCACTGCTGTCACTCCCAGGCACCTGACACTTGAGAACCGGCTGCTAGGATGCCTTTGACACCACACGAACCAGCTGCTCTGACATCCCAGGGCCCAGGCTGTTCCCTGTGCTCCCCAGCCCATCTCCCCGATGAGAGGGTTTACAGCTCGGGGATGTGCACACCTCACCTGCGGTCTGCTTGTAGCCTTCCTTATGCACGCGTAGCAGAGCTGGTTGCAGCGCGGTGACGTCACCGCCCTCCCCGCGTATGGCAGGGACCTCAGCCGCCCAGGCTGGGGGGGAGGTCTCCTTTAGCTCCTTTAGCTGGTTCTCTGTTGCGTGGCGGCGGAGACCCGGGTCTGCACCCAGGTAGCGAGGGTCGAACCGGCGGGGCGGAGCGGCGAGGGCGCGACCCTGCGCAGGACCGCGACGGTCACACACGGTGACACCGCATGGCGTCCCATGAGATCCGTGCTCTGCTACAGGTCATCGTGCACCTCTCACCAGTTCAGAAACCGTAAGGGCAAACGTGTTCTGTGCACACCAGAAAATCCCCCAAGCGTCTGTTCCTCTTGCAGATGAGCAACATGAGCATCTGCTGCATGACGCATGATGCAACGAAGAGGATGCCATTGCATTCTAATTGTCTTTCAGTATAGTCCAGGGAATTCTGGTGATCTGGAGTATAAACTGTATGCACCGTAGCGGATTCCCCACTGGATGTTGGAGACACTGGGACTAGAGTGTCCGTCCGTTCCCGAACGCAGTGTGACCTGGGGAGGATCAGCACGTCGCCCTGGTAACGGGGGACTGGACAGGCAGCAGTTCAGTGGCCAGGGCAGAATTCCCCGACTAGAGAAACTCAGTCCTCAGAGTTGAGTATGTTTTGGGGACAGACTTGACTGTACTATAAGAAGACGTTGGAAGTACTTTCTCTACAAAGCACTTCCTGCAAAGAAAACGTCATGCTACTATATTACTGTACATAATGTATATATTAAAACTCTTATCAGCAGTGACATAAATTTTGCTTTGCAAAAACTGCTGAAAGAATCATTTTTATTTTTAAAATAATGGCTCATTCTACAGTACATGTGTTCTGGGATAACATGTAAAGTTTGATTAAATCATTGTGCAAGAATGAAGAAATCAGACAAACCTGCAAAATAATTATATTTTGTATTTTTAAAATCATCAGCCACCCTCTATTCTTTCATCACAACCATAAGGTGTTTTTTCTTTAATTTAAGCTGAAGTGCTGCTCACAAAAGGATTTTAAATCTTGAGTTTTTAATTTCCACTCTTTGATCTCTAGTGGCTGACATCAAAGGAACTAATTGATACAGCTATTAGAAGACTGTAATTCAGATGACAAACTTTCACAATGTGCCCAGAACAAAGCATGGAATTTAGGATTTATTGTAATTCCCAAACAATTGTTCATACTTTTTTTTTCAAAAGCAGCCATTGTATATTGGAAGGGGAATACAAACGACAGCTTGAAGCTTTTAATTTACATGGAGAACCTGACCCTTGCTATTCTCCTTTTAATCTGCACTGTTCTCTGAAAAAATCCACGTTCTTATCAGATATTCCTGCGGCAGTCTCTGTGGAGTGGGATTTCCAGATTTGAGCGCGGATGCCTCAGACTCCACAGCCTCCGGTGTGATTACTGGGAATTAGTGAAAATGGGGATGATCCCTCCTCACATTAATCAAGGGACTAGAGCTCAGCTTGGCAAGGATGGAGTGTACAGGTGTGAAAATCTAACACCCAGGGAAAGGAAAGGACCTGACATTGTTTCACCTTGTTTAGCGATGTGTTCAGCTCCAGCTCCACTTAAACCGGGGACATGGAAAGCAGGTCTTTTTAAAACGCCTTAGCATTTATAATACTCGTACCGGATACATAAACACTAGAAACACGCTGTATTTCTG